CTCTGAAAACACCTCCAGAGATGCAGCCATGGGAAATTCTGCTTCTAGCCGTGGGTACCGCAAATCATCTGGCCTGACTTCCTCTCCCTCCATCATTCCATCAGCGGTTGGAGGAGGAACAATTGTTAAGACAAAACCTTTCCCCTCGGCCCCCATTATGGTAGCCAAATTTCTAACACAAAAGGCAACATAACACAAATAAAATGTGGCTTTTCGGATGGAAAAGTCCCTTAGGTCCCACTGAAATTGGATGTAGAAGGAGCCCAGGATTTAAAAAAAGATTGATCGGGGGTGGGGGTGGGGGTCCCAGGTCCAACCCTTCTGAGTTGTTTGTCTTGAGCCTCAGTTTCTTCCTCTGTGAAATGGGGCTGATAACTCCTACCTCCTGGGGATAATGTGAAAACTGAACGAGATGGTATCTATGAAAGCCCAGCATGGAGAACAGCTTGTTATTATTGCTGCACGTGAATGTCACCACAGAGACGTGCACATGATGGAAAAAGCACAGTGTGGGGTGAGAGGCGGCCTAAGTTCAAATCCTGGCTCCGCCTCTTGTTGCTGTGTGACCCAGGATGACTCACTCCACCTCTCTGAGCCTCACCTGCTAAGTGGGATTACTGACAACCATCTTGCAGTTTGCAAGGTTTAAATGAGATAATGTGGGCCACTGAGGAGGTGCTCAGAGATGTCAGCCCCATTCACCCTCCAAGGCAAAAAAGTGCTGTCTTGGGAGGGTGCTGGAGGGCTCAGCATGGCGGATGCGAGGGGATTATTTGAGTTTCATCTCCCAAAGGCTCCCCCATCTCCAAGGTCCTGCCTCCTCATTAACTGCTCACTGACAAGAGAGCTGAGCGTGCAGACCTCCCCCCGCCCACCCCAGCAAGTGACACACTGGTGACCAATGTCGGGGGGCAGTGCCAGTCCTGGGTGTCTGGGTGCCAAGGGAGTTCTCTCTGGGGCTCACAACAGGGCCTCTGCTGGACAGAATGGAATCTGATCATATTTTATATGTGGGGCCAGCCAAAGCCTACTGAGGGATCCCTTGTATGCCATGCGGCCGGAGCCTGTGACAGGTGGCCTTGGCTTTATTCAAGTCCAGCGTGGTTACATATTTGTTTGGCTGATGGCTGATGGCAGCCCTGGGACTGTGAGCCCATCCAAGCAGGCCCCAGCAAGGAGAACGCTGTACTCCCCTTCGCTGGGGCAGACAGGTCCCAGCAGGAAACAGTATTTCCTATGGGGGCTCAAATAAGTGACTTTGTGAAGGGACCACTTACAGAACTGGGAGCTCGGCTAAGGGAACAAGGGGGATACTGAGGCACACGGACACCAGCCAACAGTGGAAGCCGTTACCACCCAGAGCCAAAGGCACAGAGGAAGGAAGGTTGTTTCCAGAACCCAGTGAGGGACAGGACCCTGGAGGGGCTTCCTGCCCAACAGGACTGTCAGCCACAGCAAATAATATGAACCAGCACAAACAGCCAAAGGGAAGCAACAGTCCCGCGTCTCTGCATCTCTCCTCCCACCTGAGAGCTCCCACTGGAGCCCCTGTTGGCCAAACACCAGAAGCCAGGGCCAGGGGGCCCCGGAGGCAGCCCCCGGACACAGAGCGGAGGTCAGCGGAGGTGCAGGGCAGTGGATCTGGCAGGTGGGGACCTGCAAATGCCTCCACCCAGGGACGGGGAGTGAAGGAACGAGAATGGTAAGTAGACGGCTCGAGGGAGCAGAGCCAGAGTGTAAGGATTCACACACCTCTGCTTTCGTGTTTAGCTACTGTTTATCGGCCATGTCACAAATATTTTCTAATTCAACCTGAAAACAGCCCTAAGGGGTAGATGCTAGTGTTCCCACTGCACTGAGGATGCCACTGAGGCTCAGAGGGGTGAAGTGTCTTGTGCACAGTCACGTAGCAACAAAGCAATGCAGCTGAGGTTCAGTGAACTACAGAGCCTGAGGTTATAGCCGTACCCCTGCACTGTGTGAGCCCAAAGAGGAACAAACCATATGTGACGTGTGGCTGGCCTGGAGTAGGGAAGATGCAGATTGGGCAAGAGGGAGAGATGGTCTCCAGGAAGCCGAGGAAGCTGTGATTTCAGCCCCGCCATGGAGCCTGGATGTCAATCCTGTGACAGCCCCAGGCTGTGCTGCAGTGGAGGATGCCGGCATACAGTAGTTGCTCATTACCCATCGGGGCTCGCACCCTGTCCTTCTCAGAGGCCTGCAAAGTATCTCTCTCTCTCTCTCTCTCTCTCTCTCTCTCTCTCTCTCTCTTTCATTTTCGAGTCACTTCTCACTTGAGGGAGGAAGAAAGAACTAAGATTTGTAGTTCCTTTCTAAGCAAAGAAGGAAATGACCCACCAGGCTT